GGGTTATCGAGTAATCTGAGTGCGTAAACTTAAAAGAAAAATATAATTGATAAGAATATAATAATAAGAAAAAAAAAAGTGCCAAAATATTAATCAACTTTCCATGCTGTTTGACAACTCTTATTTAGCTCATGTTTCACAATCATTATTTGAAAATCTTTTTTAATGCGTATTCATTTTCAACCACACATTCATACAATAAAATATTTTGCACGTTAACCCAAAAAAAATTTCGAATTTTGAACCACACGTTCTCCTAAAAATCACTATTTAAAATATCATTTTTTCCAAATAATGGTTGTCGAACAAGGGCTAAAAGAAATAATTAGAATCTATATAATTACAAAGATCTGGATAATTATTAAAACTAAAAGACAATGACAAGAAATAAAAATATTAATATTTAGAATTAATCCGATTAAAATTCGAATTTATTTAATAAAGAAATACTAACTAAAAGATAATTAAAAATTCAATCCTCATTAGATTTATTAATCGTAAATCCATAATTAAATTTCAACGTCAATAGTGAACACTTATTTTCATTATTGGACGTGACGTATATTTGGTGCAAAACCACTATTCATAACCACTATATAGATTGTTTTAGCTTAGGACATCTCAAATCCATAGCACCAAATTTGTGCAACTTTCACACCATCTTGCAAAGTCATATCCAACCCATTACACTAAATGAACAGTATTTCATTTATTTTCTTATTTTTTTAACTATCAACAATTCATATAAAAAAAAACTATCAACAATTAATTTATTTTACAGATTATTAAATTACAAATTATATAACTACCAAAGAAAAATTATATTTAATTAACTACAATATTGTATTTATTAACAAATTAATAAAGCATTTTAAAAATATTAAATCTAAGACACAAAATAAAAAAATACATATAATAATTTTTTACATTATAAATGTTAAATAAAATAGTAATCTATTAAAGTTGAGAAAATTACCTCAAACCTTGTTTTTAAATTTCAATTTCAAAAATTAGGTATACCCACTATACCACACGTCACATAACTTTTTCCAACAACCTGAAATGGCGTCAAGGTTTCCCGTCTCCAACCAGTCAACACACAAATTTACACTTTCGAGTAACGAAAACCAACAAAAAACAGACTAAATATTGCAGAAGATTGAAGAAAGTAAAACAGAAGGTAGATTTACGAGAACATTCCCAACTTTATTTCTGTAAAACAAATAAGCAACCTAAGTACAAAAATTGTGAATGGCCACCACAACCAATTGTTGTCTCATCAATGCAATCACCATTCTATCCTGTAAAATGCACAAACACTTGGAATAAATAGAAAAAATCTGGATTGTAGTGGACAGCCCGCAACTGCTGGGTCAGTTTTCCCAGATTTTTAGCCCTCTCAACCTAGGAACGGATCGTAACTGTCCCCACATCAAGCCTACAGCAGAAACTACTGGCAACTGCCATCATGTGCCTTCCATATGGCCTGATTTCCATTGAATTTGAATACTGAAATTAGTTGGACAACAAGTTTACAATGCTGTCGGACACAGTCCGCATCAATCCATCAATTAGTGCCAATCTAACTTTCGGCCCCTGAAATCTACCTTTTGATGCCGCCATCAAGTAAATTAGGCATCCGTGCTTCGGTCGCTTGCTCATCACAGACCCACATGCTGAACTCTGAGTATCGCACATGCCTTCGACCATGGTATGTCAACGACAAGGCAACCTATACTCCATATCCATTTTCCTAGAAAGGATGACCACACCACAACATAACACACGTGTCTGTAATTTTTTTACCTTTCAATATTCTTCTAAATTGTAAAGAGAAAAGGAAAGCTGTTGGAATTTGAGAGTGGGAAATACATTGGTACCCAACCTAGTCCTTTCCAATTCCATCCACCTCCATTGACTAATCTGCGGCTCTGCCTTAGTACCCCCACCTACATTCTTTTAGTAAACGATCGATAGTCCCATGCGACATTTGATATCCCGGAGCCATCGTGAAGCCTAATAGAGCAAAACCAACCACGTAGGTAGCTCCAAATATGAGCAAAATGAATGAAGTTAGTGTTGGAATTAATAGATTTATTTGGATCATTTAAT